TTGAGGAGTTGGAGTTTGAGGAGTTGGAGTTTGAGGAGTTGGAGTTTGAGGAGTTGGAGTTTGAGGAGTTGGAGTTTGAGGAGTTGGAGTTTCGCCGACCAGTTTTTCCATGACAGCCAAGACTTTTTTTTTCCGAATTTCTAATTCTGCCGGAGTAGTTGCTCCTCTAATATATTCTGTTAAACTAGTTTCACCCAATTTTAGGGCATGCTCATTTTTTAATTCTTGTAATAAAGATTCATTTTGAATATTTTTAGATTTTAATTTTTGTTCCAGTGAAGAAACTGTTTCAGTTTTGGCTTTTACTAATTCTGAATTATCAGTTTGCTCGGGAACTCGCGGAGCGACCTTTTCTTTATTTATGTTGACCACCAAAACAGTAGATATTACCAAGGTAAGCACCAAAACAAATGATATGGCGGAAATTAAAGTTATTTTTTTTTGCCTTTGGTTTAATTTCATGATTGCTATTAATATAATATTTAATTCAATTTTAATATTTTATTTGCTAGAAAAATGAATGCTATACAAATCGTTTATTTCCTTAACTGTTTTAGGGTTTATATTTTCTCTAATAAATTGACTTTCTTCGGTGGTTATTTTGTCCTCCTGAAAATTGTCTTTACCATTAAAAGACTTAGTTTTTTTGTATTCTTCTAACGGTAAACTACAAAATTTTAAAATTTTTTTCAAGCGGTAGATTTGAGTTAATTTTTCTTTTTCTATTTTGCTTGCTCCGCTTAATAAACGAACTTTTTTGCTAAACTCTTTAAATTTATCAGCATAGGCATATGGTTCGTCCGTTTCCTCTAAACTTCAAACATTCCGAACAATTTTTCTTAATGGATGGTGAGGATTATCTCTTTTTGGTCATCAGTGAGAAATAAGTTCCTCCTCTTTTTCTAAATATTCAATATCATCGCCAATCTCATAATCTTTTCCGGAGGTACCTTTTTTCGGAAAACCGGCTACTTTTAATTTTTGTCTTTCTTCGTCAATGGAGAAAATTAAGTCTTTTTTGTCTAAATTTATACTAAATGAACCTTCTTCTACTGGTTGTCTTTCTTGGTATTTTTTAATTAAGGCTCGGGTGTAAGCAATGACATAAACCCCACAGTCAGCATTATTGGTTTGCCGAGGAATTTCTCTCACATTTTCGACACTAATTAAAGTTGCTAAATTTGCTTTCTTGTGAAAATTTTGTGCTACCTTCATAGCATTTTCCGGAGTAGTCGAAAATTCCAAAGAATTATAATTAAAAAACATACCTGATTCATCTCCGGCAAAAACCAGCAAACTCCAATGGCTTCCGGTGTCTCCGGTTTCGTGCTGCTCGGAATTATTTATGGGAAAGAAAATGTATTTACCTTTTTTAAAGTCCTCACTAATTTCGCCGCCTGCTTGGATAACGCGGACAACGCTCGGATCAACTAATTGGATTTCGGGTGAGTTAGCAATTTCTTTTCCAATTTTTCGGTAAGCGTGTTCAATTTCCTCGTCCGTTAACCACCAATTTTCGGTATCGATTGGTGGGTTGTTGGGTTCAGGATTATCATCGTTGGGACTTTTTTGGGGATTATTTTCAGGTTTTTTATTCTTTTCTATTTCATGATTAACAAACACCACTATCCCTAAGCATAATACTATTAGAATGACTCAAAAAAGCACTTTTTTTAAAAATTTTGACATGGTTTTTTAGGCAGTTATATATAATTTTACACTATTTTTTGACTTGTTTAACTTCCTTCTTTCTCCAAAATATTACTAGCAAAGTTGCCAAAGTTAATATCATCATCCCATCCCCAATCACCCCAATAAATTACTTTCTTTTTCCCTCGTAGCAGTAGTTAATTCTTTTTTTTGCTGTTTTTTTCATCAAAAACAAAAATTTCTCCTTTTTTTCCCTTTTGCTTATTCCATTGATTTATTACTTAACATTATGGACGAAAGGTTAAAAATAAACTTAATAACCTTGCTTACCAAACAGAGATAATTTGTAGGCGTTTCTAGGCTGAAACACAAACACCATTTATTTTTTATTTCTTTTCTGAAATAGGTAAACAAGAGATAAAACAAACAATAATAACATAAAACTGCCTATTCCAACTGTTCACCAAATCATTTTGTTCTCTTTGTTAGATGATTCTTCTTGGTTTTCTCTAGTTTGCTGATTAGCAGGTCAACCTAGGTCTAAACCATAAGTATCTCCTATTTCTCCCATAGTCCAAATATCCTTTAAGACTTTTTCGATTTTTTCTCGCTGTTGGTTTCACTGTCTTCATTCACTACTTTCTAACGAAGCATCTTTTTTGATTTTAAAGGCTTTTGAAACCTTTATTCCTAAATCTCAACTAGTTGAATAATCAAACGGAGTTTTCCAGTTAGGTGGTGTTTCTCAATAAACTATTGGTTTTTTAGTCTTGTCGTTGTCTAAATTTAAGTAGAATATGGCTCAATATCAGTCTTTTTCTAGATTATGGGGATGATTATTATCTGCTTTTTTTCACTCTTGGAAAGGAAAAACATCTTTGTTAAAATTAGTATCTTTAGCCTTTCATTTACGATATTCAATAAACTCTTTAAAAAACTCATCCAAGCGGTCACAGTGAACAACTCAATCACCTCCACGAACAATTCCTTGGCATGTAGTCATAATACTTATTTTTATTAAATTTGCAACCTAAATCGACCTAAAATTAAGCACCCCCACCCCTCTTCTCCGAACTTGCTAATCGACCTACTTCACCATTCCGACTTAATTTCTCCAACCCAAGCACAAAAGTCTACTCCGAAGCAAAAATCGAACTGAACACAAACTATTCCGATTCACCAACAAGTTATTTTTTTTCAAATTAAACACAAAAAAATCGATATTTAGCAATTTTTTACTTTACAATTTCATTTTCAAAGAACTTTGTTTATTTTTTAAAACTTAAAGTTTATTTGCTTAAAAACCATAACTGCCAACAAATACATAAAAACTTTAAAGAAAAAAACGAAAACTTCTAAACGAAGTAAGACCATTATATTTTCTTTACTTACCTTATCTATGCTACGCTTTACTTTTTTAGTTAAATAACGAAATTAATTAATTTGTCCTTTATAAAAATAGTTCTGGTAATTGTTTGCCTTTCTAATATTTTTTTTATTTTGGGGTCGTTTTTAACTAATTCTTCTACTTCTTTTTGGTTAATGCCTTTACTGATTAAAATTATCGTTTCTTTTTGACCGTTAATTTGCACTATGAGGTCTGCTTGTGAAGAAGAAATAGTCAAATTTTCTGTTCGTGGTCAACTACTTTTACTAATGGGATTTTCTTCAAAGTAACTTCACATTTCCTCGGTAATATGAGGTGCCAGGGGGTTTAACAATTTAAGAAAGTCTAAGAAGTGTTCTAATGACATAACTTTTTTTTTGGCTTGATAGCATTTATTAATAAATTCCATGAGCGAAGAAACCACCAAATTTAATTTAACTTTTTCATAGTAGGCACTTACTTTGATAACCACTTCAGCATGAGCCTTTTCTATTTCTTCATTTCGAACCTTAGCCAAAATATTTTCACGGTAAAGGGTAAAAAAGTTATAAACTCGGTCTAGTCATTTTTTCATAGCACGAACTCCATGCGAACCAAAACTAGTGGTTTGTTCTGAGGGTCCTATAAATACTTCATAAAGCCTTAGTGCGTCAGCTCCGTATTTTTCTAGTAGTTCCTCAGGATTAATAATGTTCCCCCGCGATTTCGACATTTTTTCGCCATCTGGTCCTAAAATCATTCCTTGACAAAGTAATTTTTGAAAAGGTTCAGGACATTTAACTATTCCTAATTTATATAAAACTTTATGCCAAAATCTAGCATATAATAAATGTAAATTGGCGTGTTCTTGTCCGCCAATATAAATATCTACTGGTAATCAATACTTTATAATTTCTTGAGCTTCGGTGCTGTTAAGGGCTAAGTAATTGTTCTTTTTTCTTAATAAAAAAGCAATATAGTATCAGCAAGAACCCGCTCACTGGGGCATAACATTAACATCTCTTTTTCCTTTTAAGCCATTTTTATTTTCAACCTTTACTCAATTTTCGGCTTTTTGCAAAGGAGAATAATAATGAGGGTTAGGGGCGAAATCAGTTAAAGTAGGGAGAATTAGAGGCAATTCTTTTTCAGATAAAAGTTCTTTTTGGTGGTTTTCTCAATGAATAACCGGAATTGGTTCTCCTCAATATCTTTGCCGAGAAAAAACTCAGTCTTTTAGATGATAAATTTCGGTTTTTCTACCTACTCCTTTTTTTTCTAATTCTTGGTTAATAATTTCTATGGCTTCGCTTTTATCCTCTTTGGTAAGTAGGAAACTAGTTTTAGAACAATGGCAAAAACCAGTGCCGCATTCAACAAAACCTTTTAGTTTGGGAAATTGACATTCCGGACAGTTTTCGTGATAACTTCAATTATTTGGTTCTTCTCCATAATCTTCTTGATAAAGTCCTATAACCCCTCTCCTTAATAACTTGTACTTTTTAGCAAAAGTAAAATCAATTTCTTGGTTTTGCTTCTTTTCCTGTTCGGTAAAAATTTTTTCTGATTTTAAAAATTCTTTTTCTCAGGCTCATTCGCTAGAAAAATAAGGAGCAATCATAACTGCCCCCGTGCCATAATCACTAACTACAAAATTAGTTATCCAAACCGGTATTTTTTCGTTATTTAATGGATTTAGACAATAACTACCGGTAAACTCACCAATAACTTCTTTATTTTCTTTTTTATCTTTCCAGGATTCGCAAAAATCATTCACTTTTTTTTGATATTCCGGTAAAACAATTTCTGAAATTAAGGGGTGGTTAATCGATAAAGCAATCGCTACCACTCCAAAAATAGTATCTGGGCGAGTAGTAAAAACCGGGATAGTTATTTTTTTTTCTACTACTGAAAAATTAATAATTGTCCCTTTTGATAAACCAATTCAATTAGTTTGTAAACTTTTAATACTATTGGGTCAGTCTAATTGTTCTAAGTCTTTTAATAATTGCGGAGCGCATTGAGTAATTTTTAAAGCTCATTGAGGTATCTTTTTTTCTATTACGAGGTAATTGCCACGTTCAGAAACCTTTTTGCCCTCTACATTTTTTATTTCTTCATTAGCTAAAACTGTGCCTAATTTTTCACATCAATAAACTGGTATTTCTTTATATTCGGCTAACCCTTGTAAATATATTTGGCAAAAAATCCATTGAGTCCAGTGGTAATAATTGGAGTCGCTGGTATTTATTTCTTTACTCCAGTCGTAAGAAAATCCGATACTTAATAATTGTTGTTTAAAGTTTTCAATATTTTTTTGAGTAAAAGTGGCTGGGTGATTATTAGTTTGAATAGCATATTGTTCGGCTGGTAAACCAAAAGCATCCCAACCAATCGGCATTAGAACATTACATCCTTTTAAGCGGTAAAAACGAGCTAAGGCATCAGCGATGGTGTAATTGCGGATATGACCAACATGCAAGCCACTTCCCGAAGGGTAAGGGAACATGGCTAGAATATACTTTTTTGGTTTAGATTTGTCTGCTAAATTGGTAAAAAAAGTCTGATTTTTAACTCAATATTCTTGTCATTTTCTTTCGATTGCTTGATGTGAATAACTCATATTAATAAATTATTCTTTTTTTTAGCGAGTATTAAAGAATTATTAGTAATTTTCTCTTATTATTTTTTTCTTACTAATGAAAATTTCACTGCTGGTTCCGCAGTTAAACTAGGTGCGTGTAGTTCGCTAGTTCATTCTATTTTTTGGATAACATAGCCATTTTTTTGTAAATTAGTTAAAATCTCGATAGTTAAATTAGCCACTGAGGAAGCAATTTCTTGAAATTTAGTTTGGTATTCTTGAATAATCTGTTTTTTTCTTTTTTCTATTTCTTCTGGCTTAGGACTATTTTGTTCTTTGCCTCCTATTTTTTCTTCTGTTATTTTTATTTCTCCTTTTTTCACTGTGTCAGGAACGCATTTAGAGCATCACCTTTCTTTGGATGTAAACGACGGTTCTGCTCCTACTACCGTATAACCTTCTTCAAATGGTTGGTGGCAAACTTTACAAGTTCATTTGTCGCTTTCCTCCACTTCCTCTTCTTTGACTATTTTTCCGCTAGAAGCAAAAGAAAACTTTCTATTTTTTTTACCTTG